AGATCTTCACTATACGGTACACGACTTTCACATTCAAAGACTTACGTTTGCAATCAATAGCCTGGCTATGGTCGAGATTAGATCATACGCAGCAATTTCACCATTTAGTAAACATATTCCTCACCTATGCTGGGAGTATAATTTGCACTTCCCGAGCGTTAGCCGCAGGTGCGGCATGACTCATATTCCCTCTCATCTAATGTAAGAGGCTAAGGTCTCTGCAAGTAGGACCATGATACCTTCACACAAACCATTAAATATTTATACGAATACAATTATATAGGAATTAGTTCTTAAATTATTCCCAAAAATGTGCTACCCAGTTTGAGTAAAATGAGAATCTATGTAAGAGATAAAACTGCTACAAACTGAGGTCCCGTCCACCCCAAGCAGAGCACCAACCAACCCATTAAACACCAAGGTTATGTAAAATGTAGGAAAATTTCTCCAAGTACAACAGGAAGTACATAAAGAAAAATGGCAACCCAAGAGAAGGGGGAAGGTTTCTGGGCTATGTTCACAGCGATAATTTGATTAATGGTTTGGTAATGCGAGTGTTGAGAGTAAGTAGGCTTTATGATAACATATCATACATTAGGGTTTTATCACATAAAAAGACAAAACTTATCAGCATCTTATGGTCTGTACAACTAAAACGACTGGCTTGTAATAGTAGCCCCTCTGAAACGATAAAGGAAATCTAAAACCAAGGACCAAAACACCTAAAGGCAAGAAGCGTACTTCAGCGAAGCCGCTACCAAGGTCACTCTTTCATCATTACTCTCTCAACCATCCAACCTCCCTCTCCCGTCACTCGCCACCTCCAGGAAACTTCCGTGTCACCACCTCCCCCCCCCCCTCACGAACACACCCGTCTCCTACTCCTACTTTTCTCTACGAATTAAATTAAAACACACACGAGTACAGAGACAGTTATGAGTTTTTGGGATCAGCCTTCAGATGGTCTGGTGTAGGGTAAGAGTGTAGGATAACATTAGTTAAGAAAAAAAGCGAAAGGTGCATGTTTCTACCAGTGCAGACTACTGAACATATGACCCTGTATGACTAATCATCCTACGACATTCGGATTTTTAGTATCATTGCTACCTTATTCACTCTTGTGTTCATGATGATATCCTCATTATGCACTCAATAGTTTGCCAGGGCAGACTACTCATCACATGCCTCTGTATGACTAACCATCCTGTGTGATGAGGATTTTTAGGATATCGTAGCTAGTTTTGTGACATACTATACCTTTCACGGTATAGACTTCATATAGTCTAGGGTACCTTCACAAATGCAGATGCACCTAATTGTGTTAATCAAAATAAAATAAGCGATATTCTACCTAGCTAGTACTCATCCCCCCTCCCCCCACATTCAATACCCAGTACTAGCCTCATTAGACGTTGAGATGCAAGTCTCGTCCTAATCACACGCTCAATACTCAAGGTCTACACAAGACCTTGATAAAGCAATCAGGTGTGCGCGAAAGACTGCAAATTCCAGAACAAATTTCACAAATACACAAGTGTGGGTTTTTAACCTATGTTATTATGTCTGTGAGAAGACATTACCATTACCATTATAAGTGCATGCGCGTGAGTGCGTGAGATCGATATATATATATAGTATAGTCACGGGTGGTCAAGTGGTTAAAATACCAGGTACGCCATGATGAATAGTGCTCCTGGTTGTCTGGGTTCGAATCCTTCAGGGCATGTGGAGTTTTCAGTTGCATATTGGCTTGGGGACCATTCAAACTTGTTCGTGCATATATTTTTTTTTTATATATAATATATGCATGCGAGAGAGAGAGAGAGAGACAGAGACTGACTTCAGATGAGCTGAGGTAGGATAACAGCTCTTGCTTGCAGTTTCACTAGGTATGTCATTAGACATCCCTTATAAATCCTAGTCTTAGTTTAAAAAAGAGCACGAAAGAAAAAAATACTTGCGTGTATGTTCTTTTGTGAGAGACCAAAAGAAGACTTACTTCAGAAAAGGTAAAAATAACTAAAATGTTCACTCACCCACACATTGTTTAAGAAAAGCTAATTTAAACAGAGATCATCAGGGGAGATCAATCAGCCCACAAGGGAAGATAATGTATTATATTATAAAAGTACATCACTCAGGCCTATAAGAACGATGAAAAGGTAATACAGGATATAATTTATAGAATTGTAAACCATGCAGTGAAAACACAAGGATGTGTCCTATTATTTATTATAACCCCTTGTACAGTTTCCCTCATTATGAGAGACATTCTAGGGCATTGAACATTACAAAAAGTTAAGGCTATTTTATTAAATTCCAGTTGCCACTAATTTTTATTGTACAATATTATAAACATACTACTGTACTCATATTTATACAGATGAAACTAAAACATATGTAATATAACTAATTTAATCATTCGATACTTGCAATCTAATACTAGTCTAGGTCGTTCACTGAAGAAAAGTATCCAGCTGTATTGTAGTGCTAAGATGAAATTAGCACAGCTCAAGCCCACAATTTTGGTCACTAAACACAGTTCAAACCTTAGTCTTGGTCCCTATAGGGCCAAATATCTTTTGTAATGTGATAAATTTTGCATGTACAAACTGCACACCTAAGCATTTGTAATTTGGGCTATGTCTAAAGGCTCTTGCAGTATGTATGTATTCTCGTTGCCAGACATTACAGAACCTGCAAAGAACCTGAAAAAACTGGTCACCTTTTGGGTGGGGGGAGGTGGAAATCATCTGGCAAATGTTCTGGGGGTTTAATCCAACAACCATGTACCTGTACATAATGATTTTCCTAGTCAATGATATAAATATGTAGGGAAACACGATAAATATATGTTCTACATGTTCAAGCAATTGTAACTATATAGACCTGTCCAGTCATATGGCCTGCACCACAACTCAAAAAACAGCCAGTCTTTTTTGATTTTGAACACTGGTATGTACATCACCATTCCAGTCATTTCTTACAACAGCTCCTCTTTCCATTAATACTACAATGTTTTAAACTTTATTCAGTAGAGTATTACAAATTTTTAAATCTAAAGGTAATGTTTGAGGTTTTCTCAAGTATTTGAAGACCCCCAATTTTATCCTACAATAGAGTTGAATCGTGCATGAAAAGGTATAAGGTCATTCCATGCCAAATCGTCACAAAAAAAGTGAACTTTAAAACCAGCCCATCTCAGATTTTCGTGAAATTTAGTAATATGATAAGAGGACATGAAGTAACTTGCATATGCAAAATTTCAGCATTCAATGATGAATAATATTTATACAGCAGGGTTGCCCACATGAAAAAAAAATACAAAAATTTGGTTTCCAAGCTCAACAAAAAAATCATAACTAATCGAGGTACAACCTTCATATAATGCTTGCTTTGAACCATTTGTATCCCACCTAACTGTATTATGATGCTCATACAGTAGCCTCAAGCAGTAGCCTCATACAGTTCTCTATCAAGCTCTCTCACCAAGCAATAGTCTACCACGTCAAATGTGCAGTACAGTACCTCCACTGTCCACCCTCCCTAACCATGTGCCCACACATAGATGACGACACCTGAACGATGTCCAAGTTCCTCAGCCTCCAAAGTTCATCAGTTTACTTCATTGAACACGTCCATACATATGTGGTTCAAGACCTCAGCTTGACCACCCTGACTTTGGAGGGTGCTCCGAGTGAGACCTTGAACTTAAATCCCGCCACCCCCCTACCCAACCAACCTCATTGCCCCAACCTCATTGCTTTTTGCATTTGAAGCAATTACATCTGCTGGCAAGACTTGCTCTAGAGATGATCCAGATACCTTCAGATGACCAGGTCAACTTTATTCCAAAGATCCTTGGACACAAAACCACATTGCATGAGCCTCTTGACCCAACCATAGATTTGGTGGCAACTTGCACTGTCTACTTACAACAATAGGGCTCAAATCTGACCGAATTCATGGGCTCAATTCAAATACCTCCTTAGTCTAGGCTTACCTCTCAATAACCTTTCGTATCCGTATATAGGGTGCCTGACAGTTAAGTGGACAGCGCTTCGGATTCGTAGTCCTGAGGTTCTGGGTTCGATCCCCAGTGGAGGCGGAGACAAATAGGCAAAAAGTTTCTTTCACCCTGATGCCCCTGTTACCTAACAGTAAATAGGTGCCTGGGAGTTAGACAGCGGCTATGGCCTGCTTCCTAGAGGTTTGTAACAAAAAAGAGGCCTGGTCGAGGACCAGGCCATGGGGACGCTAAGCCCCGAAATTATCTCCAGATAACCCCAAGATAACCTAAAGATAACCTATCCGCTACATTGCATTTCTCGGCTATGAGATGCAACGTAGTAGATCACTTATTTTCAACAATGATAGGTTTAGAATGCAAAACTCCCACTCAAAATCCATTTATTGCTCAGGATGCCTGCCCACTGCTAGTACTAATCACGGTTGTGATTGGTTGCCTTGACCTCTTTATAATGGCAGTACAGTACATGTGCTTTACATCTACTGTACTTGGAGTAGAATAGAGAGTCATTTATAAAGGAACATACCCCAAGCTCAAGAACACTATCAATACCTTGAACCACACCCTAGAGCCAATTGAGAAAAAAAATTGAAATGCAAACATTCTTCTAGGAAAAATAAACTACACTTAAAATACAATAATTTAATAAGGAAAGCAAGATATATAATGGATCACATCATGATTTATAGCAAACCAGGGTTGGAACATGATGCCTCAAGTCATGAGAGGATGTGTCATGTTGTCAAACATGGCACCTCCAAGTCATTTCTCACAGATTTTGTACAGTAATTACAGCAGTACAGTATAAACTTGTGCATGTTCATAATACTGTATAACGATGATGGTAGTTGTTGGAATTTAATAAACTGTCATTAAGATTTTTATAATATTCATCCAGACATCAGTGTATCATAAGTGGATGTAGGTTTAAAGTAGTGTATTACAATTTACTGTTTGTACTGAAACTTACCATGTGGGTGATTAATGAGCTGTAGGATGAGGGGTCGACGGGTAACAATGCCAGAACCACGAGGTAGAAAGTCTCTGCAATAAATAAAGCAAATTTACTATAAATTTAATGAAAGTACAGAACTAAAGTAATTTGCTACACTTTCATATACTGTACAGTAAATAATTAACATTTTAGGCCTATATTGTATTAGAATATTGTATTAGAATTCAGTACAAGCTGCTTCTTGACACAGGAGTATATACACACACACACACAGTATAAATAAAAATGAAAGCAGATCATAGTTTCTGGGTAAAATAAAGAGCAATGGTGGAAAGAAGTGACAAAAACATTGTAACCTACACATGAGGTTTTGGATGGTGCTGTTAAATGATAAACACAGCAATGTAGCCTGGTGCTGGTTGTTGGTGATGGACTTTAACTACAGTTTTGGAAACTAACCAACAAGATACAAAGGTCATACAACAGCTGTGCTGTATATGGGCTTTTCTAAACCTTATGATAAAGTACCACACTAAACACTGGCACAAAACTACAAACAATTAGAATAAATGGCCAAATGTAAGAATGGATAAAACAATGTTTAAAACACAAAGCAAAGGGCCCCCCTAAATAGAAATATAATACCTGTACTCTAAATCTGACAAGAAAAATATTATGAGTGGGGTATCAAATAATGGGGCTAACCCTTTTTATAATAAGCATCAACGACATGAAAAAACCACAAACCACATAAAATGTGCAGATACAAAGCTCTGCGATTAAATAGAAAGAGAAGAAACAAATTGAGACCTTGCACAACAATCTACACTAACTCCACAAATGGTCAGAGGACTGAAAATGTTAAATATTGCAAAAAATGCAAGACTTTGAAGTAGGGTATAAAATGCATGTCATAACTATCATAGCATGATCATGAAGATTGAAAAGGAGAGCTCATCGAAAACTGTTCACCCAGAACTAAAATAATTCTCATACCACAGGAAAAGCAACTCTTCAAACTTAATAGCAGGGCTGACAGAAAATACTGAAAAAGTTGCAAAACATTAATCAAGACATCTGTAATTTAGTAGGTCCATTGCCCTGACTCAAAACAAATTTCAACTTTTACACTGGAAGCCTCATTACACAGGACAAACATGAATTTTCATTCAAAGCCAAGGATAATAAATCTATGTTATCTTTTAGACTTCCTGTTCATGTCAAAGTCAGAGATAGTGGCCATTACGAACATTCAGTATTTCTAATCGATTAAATAGTGTAATCCATCCTTGACTTCCAAACAGTCATTATGAGAAATGTCAGGATTAATTTAATACATTTTAAATTAATAATTAATCATTTAAAATTAATCATTATAAATTAATCTTGTACAGTACAGTATATGTATATAAAAGTTATATACGAGATACAATATAACATAGTGATGGGACACTTAATCAGGATCGGTATCAAGAATCCGAAGAGTCTAGCATTTTCCACTACAGTAATTGGAATCGGTGTCGGAATAAGGAATTTGATCATGATTTCCAATTCTTAAAATTTCTTTAACATTTATTAACAAATAATTTTTTGTCTTGGGTAATAATTAAAACTGGATTAATTATGATTAGCAATGAAGTATTATACTCCCCAAAAAGAAACGGAATGCAAGCAGAAACTGGAGATATGCTTATGTTTCTACATTACAATTTAAGTCTTTGGCCTAAAATATTAATAACTTTTCTTGTAGGTTAAAGGTTAACATGTTTATGGAGGTTAAAGATTTTTTTCAGTATAAAACCGAATATGAATTTTAATTAAGCTAATAAAGAGCAATGGTGGAAAGAAGTGACATTGCAATTTAATTTTATTTGAAAAGGAAATTTTTTGTTATTGTATTGTAAATTACATAAAAGTAAAGTTTTCAGTAAAATGTAAAAGTAAAAAAGTAAAACGTAAAAAGTAAAAACGTTAAAGTAAAGTAAAAAGGAAAGTTTTCAGTATTTCTTATTTTTTTATTTTATTGATCCAGGGTAAATTACTTTTACTTTTGAGTAAAAGAAATTAGCTATGCTTTAATTGAGCAAGTGTTACAATATTAACTATTTGATAGATTACAAATTGGATATGCTGTAATTGTGCAGTATATCTGATTGTATAATGGAATGCTTTCACTCTTCAGGTTGCTTTTGGAAGATTAAGTTTGTTTTACCAATTTTTGTCTATTCTTAAATCAATGTATTATATTAATGCATTTACTGTGCTCATAATATCGAGCATTAATTTGTTCAAACTAAAATATACAAATTTTCACAAAGGTATGTATCCAATTATATTTTTTAAAAGAATCTGCATCAGAATCGATAATAGAATTGCAATTGAAACCACTTAGCGGAATCAGCATCATAGATATCGGCCTCGGTATAGGAATTGTTTGAAATTTTAGTATTTTTCCATCACTAGTAACAGTATATAATACAAAAAAAAAGTACATATACTGTACAGTAACTGCAACAGCACAAATATTTTTAAATGTTAGTGAAAATACAGTTGATCTAAGTGCCAGTCACTACCAAATTTCTAATTTTTTTTCAGCCTACGTACTGCATGAGGTTAATTCTAATATTATTTTGTATTTTTTTTAAATATGGCTAGATAATATCTATATACTGTACTATATTACCAGTAATGAAAGCCAGTCAAGTGATGTACAAGACATCACTAAATATCACAAGTATTGTGTTAACCAAAGTGGTGTTTTAGGGACATTTGTAGCCAAAATGTGCATTAGAAGTCATGAGTTAGCTTTTTAATCTTTGTTCAATGTCAACAAATCTTTTTTGACTAGTTGTATATGAAAAGGGCTGCAATTGTCCCAAGTTTCAGTACTGCAGCCTAAATAGAAAGGGAGATTTAATTATCTACGAATATTACACATTTTCAGTAAGTTCCTACTATCACAAGTTTCATATATAATCATTCTATGATACTTTTCTGATACATTAGCATATACTGTAATAAAGGATCTGATGCCGCAGATTTTCCAAAATATGTTTAGTATTACTAATACAAATATTCAAAGTTCCCCAAAAAATTATGCAGATAAATCATGGTTTATTGCCATTATAAAATCAATAAACAAACTTAGGATAAAATGTTGGCATAAGATTTTAGAGACAAACTTTACATACAAGGTGTAAGTTTCATGTAAATTGAATAAAAATGAAAGAGTAGGGACTCTGTTATTTGAAAAATAAATCATTAAAAATTAAAATCTAAGGTGCTGCCATCTGTGGTTGAGGTTGACAAACAAATTTCCTCCAAAATTGGCACCCTTACAGATAGGCTTATGTGCAGTCAGGAGTATAATTTTCATGCAAATCGTCCAATAAACGATTAAAAAAAAAAAAATAGGAAAAATAAAATTGAAAAAACTTTTTTTTAACAATTTTTTTGATAACACTAATTATTCAAATTTTTTAATATGTGCTATTGTAATAGCTGAGAGTCATAGACACGATTTCAGTTGACACTTGTGTTTGATGTTAATTTTTAACCATTTTGGAAAAATTTTGACAATTCAATATTTTTTTTTGCCCTTCCTATTTATGCTACAATACTGAGACTTGGACCAGATGAAACCTTTTCATATACAACTCGTCAAAATAGTTTGAATGAAATCGAACAAGTTTTCATTTATTGCATATTTTTGGCATATTTGCAACTCATGGCCCCTTAGTAGTCCTATTGTTATCCCATATACTGTACAAAGAACAACAACAAAAAAATAGCTAAAATGTAGGCATATACAGTAAAACAAAATTACTATAAAATTACTGTAGCACATAACACTAAGATACGGTGATACAGTGACACCTCGACTTACGATTGCCCCGACTTACGATAATTTCGAGTTACGATATAAATTTGATCGGAAAATGACTCAACTTACGATAGAGTCGTCGACTAACGATATTCGTTAATACACGTTCAGGTCAACCGAGCGCATGATTCCCGGTCGCGCTGGCCGACCTGCCTCAGATTACTAGAGCCGCCCACTTAGTGACGATCACGCTTATAAGAAATTCATTTTTTTTGGTGATTTTTTGTTTTTTGAACATAAAACTGATTATTATATATCATGCCATGGATCCCAAATAGATCAATGGTACGGTTCAACATATGAAAAAACATGTGAGGATGACCATAGAGGCAGCTGAGCAAATTTCTTCAGGGAAGGAGGAGGTAGTACAGGATGTCCCTTCCTCAACAATTAGGAAGTGGTAGACTGTGGGAAGAAATGCAAACTTTTGTTGAAACGACTCACCCAGAGCAAGCTGTAGTAGGCCGTAGTAATAGTAATGACACTGTAATTACCCAAGTAATTACCTAAGTGTAGTTACAGGATGAGAGCTATGCTCGTGGTGTCCCATCTTCCCAGCACTCTGTCATATAACGCTTTGAAATTACTGACGGTTTTGGCCTCCACCATCCTCTCACCTAACTTGTTTTAAACGTCTGCCACCATTTACAAAAGTGAATTTTCTTATATTTCTCCGGCAGCTTTATTTCCTTAGTTTAAATCTATGAATTTCCGGGTCTCAGGAATTCTTCCCTATCAATTTCATCGATTCCTGTTACAATTTTGAATGTAGTGATCACATCGCCTCTTTTTCTTCTATCTTTTAGTTTTTGCATATTTAATGCCTCTAACCTCTCTTCGTAGCTCTTATCCATCCATCACTGTGATGCATCACTACAAACAAATGTTGAAAAGAAGGGAAAAACAAGTGTCGCTAGACAAATTTTTAGTGGGAAACAAGCAATGAACCACAATTGGGTCCTAGTGGTATGCCTGCAAAACAGAGTACACCATGAAAGTCATCACTCTGATATTATAATGGAAGGGGACTCCCTTTCCGAACAGTAACACCTCTCCTCCTCCTCACCATCTTCCATATGCCAACAAGTCATCAATAAAGGTAAGCGATAACTTATGCATACTATACTGTAGTACAAAAAAAAGTGTATTATGTATGAAATGTATTTTGAAGTTAATATTTTTGGGAGTGTGGAACAGATTAATTAAATTTATATTATTTCTTATGGGAAAATTAGTTTCGAGTTATGAATTTGAGTTACAAGCCATCTGTGGGAAAAGATTAGATTCATAAATGGAGGAACCACTGTACAGTAATCGCTACACACAATTATAATGACCAAGCAGCACAGAACTCAAGGAATAGGGACACTTGAACCTTAAAATTTTACATTTAAAATTTATATTTTAATCAGGACTATAAAAGTATTAATGAAAAACAAACTAACATAGCCGAACCCAAAAACTCTCAGAAATTGCAGTTCGTATGCCTATTAGCCTATTAGTGGCAGATCATGTTTAAATTCCATTTCTAAAAATTAATATAATGTTATATTAAATAATGCTAGCTGGTAATACTGTACTGTACTGTATATTCCATTTGTAATTCAAACAACTTTCCTGGATCCCATGGCTCAAGAGAATGTAACAATATCCCAAAACTGATATTTTTTTCCAGGGTTGTTCCTGCATGGGCCCTAAGCCTCTGGCTGGCCCACTAAACTGAGTTAGTTACACACTAACGTTATGTCATATCACTTTTGTTGTTGTATGACCAACTGTTACCAACTGCGTTAAAAATAAATTGCAATTACTGTAACTGTAACCCTACAATAATTAAAATAAATCCATTCAGTATTATGGCTAACAAAATTGAACATCAAAATTCAAGAGATGCCTTACTAATGGAAGATATAGCAAAGATAATATTTCCTTCTACTAATAATTCTTTTAGATATAAGAGTCCTGTAGCACAGTGGTCAACAACCTCAACTCTCAATCAGTATGCCCAGTACAATACCAGGCAGTACAAAAAGTTGTGCATATTTCTTTTCACCCAATTCCTCTGTTCACCTAGCAGTAAATAGGTACCCGAGAGTTTGGCAACTCATGCGGGATGATCCCAAGGAAAGTCAGTTGTTAGCCAAGGAGGGGGGGGAGGACCCTCGATACAGACACCATGTCTCTTACAACAGGAATTATTAAAACAAAGCAGCCTGGTTATCTTTTTTTGTGCACTAATACATTGGTGTTTTGGATTTAGGGCTTAGTTTACCATCACCCCTTAGTCTCTCAAAGTTTTATCTTCAATGTCTATAGCACATCAAAGTAGATATACAGCAAGAATATTTTTGCCCAGACTTAGGAATTTACATTTACAGTGTCAATGTTGAGCTGCATTTGCCATTCCTCTATCCAAATCTGTAGTTTATTTAGGACTTTTGCAGTTCAGCAGCATTTCTTTTCAATTTAATCTACGTCCCAACCATAGTGGGCATACTTAAGGTATGCCCTATTTTTAAGTCTGCAAATTTGTTGATGTCATTACTTACTCAAACATCCAGATATTATTATTATAAATTTCAAACAATAACAAACCTAATACAAAATCATGAGGCACACAAGTGATAATTCCAAAAACTAGCACCATGTTAAACTCGAAATAAGTGTAGAGGGAACCACATTCAATGCCAGAGCGAGAGTTTCCTCCTTTATTTTTTATTTTATTTTATTTATAAATACAAGAGATCTTACATTCTTGTAATTCTACTAGCACGAATAGCATTTCGGGCTTCAGGTGAAAGTGCATCTCGACTGGTTGATGGCAGCTGTGCGTGGCTCCCTCGCACATACCTCGAGCAGAGATAAGACAACCGCACCTTGCTGAGCAGCCAGCTGTGACTCCATTCGCTAGATTTTGGGCTACTTCCTATATCTTGACTGGAATACGAGGACCCGCCAACCTCATTCCTTCCCACGTCTACCTACGAAGTCTGGACTCCTTTGTACCTCTAAAGAGACCTGGTTAAAGGACCAGGCCGCAGGGACGTTGAGCCCTGATATCATTGCAAGATAACCGCAAGGCAAGCTACCTCCTCCACAGAAGTCTACACGACTCAAGGCGAGCCTCTAACTGCCACAAAAAGAGTGACAGAAGGTACCTATCACTTGTACCTATTCCATCTCACAAAGTCTGGCTATCATAACCCAGGCGGTGCCCACAACACAAGGTTATCCCGCCTGATTTATGAAATACTGTATACTGACAGTAGACTAATGAGCTGTTGCTTGTACTGTACTCTAAAACTCTCAAATATTCAACCCATCATCCTGTTTAGATGGTACCTATTGTGACGATGGTCAATAGTCAGAATTTGTATGTTCTTAGCTTTTAGATAGTACACTCAAAATAAATCATTACTAATAAGGAATTCTTTTAAAATAAATGTAGCCAAAACACAAACTAAATATTCCTAGGCCTAGTAATTATACACACATGTACTATATTAGGCCTCGGATATCATGTATTAGGCCTAGAAAGGTTAGTTTAGTTTGTCAAAGAAAAGCAAGTAAAAAAAATAGCTTTTTGGTTTGTCTAGATCCACATTTCTACGTTATAATTTCATTGTACGCTGGTATGTGTACTGTGGTCCTCGTCGTTACTCTAAGTACTACCAAAACAGGAGGATGGGTTGAAATATTTCATCAGCTCCTAGAATCCTGTTTAAAGTTGGTTGCACTAACCTATTATCTGCTTTATGTAAACCATTTCCATGATAACCAAGTTTTCAAGGTCAACTTTAGTGAAGGCTGATGCAACATAATTAATAGTCAAACTATTGCCAATTTCATTCTCATCGTCAATTAACTGACCTGCACTTGTCTTCAGTAGCCCAAGCAGTAAACTTCACCTAGGCTGAATTGTTGTCAGTACAAGTCTAGACTACTTGCTGAAGTGTTCACTTTAATATTTTCATTATTCACATACTGTACTGAAATAACCATCTTTACAATAGCATAAGGGCTGTATATTTAATAACCAAGCTAAAATACTAACTATCCCTCCTTCAGTTTTGACCAAGTGTAACATGATAAATCTGACATTAAGATTACTGTTCGATATCAAATGTAATTAAGCATCTCTTAAACAAAATTAAAAGTACTACACTTGCACAATATGACCAAATTATTAATGAAACCCATCAAATCTCATATTGCTGTTCTTACATATACATTTTGCAGTGGACAAATATTGATTTCTTCCTGTGACTACGAGCAGCACATCTTCAATACTACTAAGGGCTCACAACCTTTCACGGCTTGCTGAGCCCGAGGGAGCCCCAGGGAGCCCGAGGGAGCCCGAGGGAGCCCCTGAAGCACCCCACAACCCAACCTTCACGCCCCCCACATCAGGTACAGGTGAATTATGTCATTGTCCTGTAGGCAGGATCCGCCCCCACCCCACCGCCATAACACTATCCTCCACCTACCCTAAAATATCGCAAATATAGAACCCTGTTCTGACAGACAGACACGACCTTTGTTATTTATCCGAATAGGACAATTATTTACCGAATAAGAGCGAATACTTACTGTCCGACGAAGTTCTCCAGCACCGAGGACTTGCCAGCTGATTGCCCACCAACTACAGCAATTTGAGGTAAATCCAACTGCATGTGGACTCCCAATTGAGTGAATGCATCTTGTAGTTTGTTCACAATGGGGATGAGCTGCTCCATCCCCATGTTCCCCGACATTTTGGCTGGTTAGGTGCACACTATCCCCACGCTCACACACATTCAGTCACTACAGAATATGGCAGACAGCCGACTGTACGACAGTTCGAAAATTCGATACAATGCTGCGCGGGGAGTGCGCCTCCGCCAACGCACCAGCACGCCAGAAACGCCCGCTACCCATCCTTCGTCTCCCTTCTTTTATTCTCAAGCTTTAATATTATGTCTAAACAAAGTGGAAAATTTACCATTTTGTAAAACATCATAAATCCAAGTCAAATACATCATAACAACGTACTGATAATATAAATTCACTTGAGTGATACCTCTATAGAAAATGAAAATGTTTTAAGGAGGGCTTTTCTATTTATTAATCTTGTTTCTTATTCATTAGGTCGGGGGACAGGCAGCTAGTGTGTAGTCATACACGATAGGCTTGTATTAAGGCCGCCATCCACCCAAGGTTGAATTACTGACCCCAACCAGGATGCAACCCCACAATAAGCTGACTAACTCCTGAGTACCTACTTACTGCTAAGTGAACAGTGCATTAGGTGATAGGAAATGCACCCAGCCATTTCCATTCCCGCCAGGGATTCGAACTCGGACATCTCGATTGTGTATTGAGAACGAACCTGACTGTACTACTGGGACTCTCTTACCTAAAGGTAAGACTCTTGTGGGTCTTACCCTCATGGTAAGAGGGTGGACCCTGTGGGTAAGACCCCTGACCCTTATTTACCTGAGATCATCTCTCTAGTGGACTCTACGGGGACGGGAAGCTGACGGCTTACCAAAGTTTCCCCCATTGTTCCTGATGATTTTTCTCAACTGAATTTTGAGCTGACGTAATGTCTTAGAATTTAATGCTTTGGCTAGTAAGCAACCGTATGGGTAAAAATCATTTGTTTTGTCCTACATTGTGATTTTTCTTAGCTTGAAGTGATCTGGATTAATATTCTCAAACTTGTTTAGTATTTTAAGTCTCGATGAGATCAGCCTTGTCGTGAATGGTTTGCATTGTTGTTAGTCTTGTGGTCCTCAACAGTTCCCTACATGAACACAACTAGTAAACACATGAGCGTCCACTTAGTTCTGGGATGACTTTTGTAGCTCTGTGTTAAACTTTCTCCAAAGTAGATATATGTTCTTTTGAAGGGGAATATTCTCTATGCTTGGATACAGTAGTCCAAAAGGGGTGAAGCAAAGATGTGTACAGTTGAATAACTGCTTTCTTTCCCTAGAAGTCAAAGGTTCGTTTGACTATTCTTTAGGTTCGGTTAATTATATTTTTACTGCAGGTCCCACTTGTTGCTCATCATCCAATGACTGTTATATCTTACTTTCCTTTATTACTCTGCTGTATGGTAATTTTATTGATTTGAAAGTTATTATGTATTGTAATGCCCAACATACAAGATCTTGGGTTTTTCAATGTTGAAAAGCATCTTCCAGTCGTCTGACCATTTGTGGAGTGCATCTAGATGTCTGTGTAAGGCCTCAATATTGTTTTCGCCTTTTACTTTATCATAAATCTTATTGTCATCTGCAAATTTTATGATATGGTTTGTAATATGGTTTGTAATCTATGGCGTTGGTGTAGAGTACATGACAAAAAGGGTTTGCCCCACGATGGAACCTTGCCGTATCCCTCTCTCCACATTTCTTCATTCAGATTCATTTCCATATAGCACGACCCTTTGCATCTTTTGTTTTAACCACTGTTTTATTATTTTTAGTATTTTACCATTTGTGCTTGTAATTTCCTCATTAGTTTTCATTAATGTCGAAAAATGCAAGCCCTCGAATCTGGGACATAACAATGCACATCACAGCAGCTAAATGAAAAGCATTACCTTGCAGCAGATTGATGAAGAAAAGGACTGTGGAGTCAGAATCTAACTCACCTCTTGTCAAGCGTAACACATATTGGCACACCTGACTGGCCACAATCTTCGTAAATAACAATAGCATTCTCCACAGTCTCTCCATTTACCTTTCCCACTTATATCTCTCTGTTAAGTGGTAAAAAACTCTGTGCTAGTTATTGTAATACTCGTCAGACCTTTAAACCAGTTCCCCAGAAGCATAGGAAAGATGCAATAATAGTCTCGTAAAATATGCATGTTACATCTGTTTGTATGTTTATTTGTCTCTCTATGCAAGGGTTGAAGGCCAGATACTTGGGAGCAACCTCACGCAACTTTGTATGGAGAGTGCTAGAGTGGGGTCGGGTTCGTCCACTATGTCTCTCTTGAACTGACGGATCGGCTCCTATTACGACTCCGTGACTCTTATGGTATCTGAAACTGTGGTTTCATTTTCCATAGAGTTTCTTGACAGTATTTCACATATGACCCTGTATGACTAACCATCCTGCGAGATGGGGACTTCTAGTATCACTGTTACCTTATTCACTCTTGTGTTCTATGATATCCTCATAATGCACCCAAAGTTTACCAGTGCAGACTACTTAGCACATGCCTCTGTATGACTAACCATCCTGTGTGATAGGGATTTTAGCATCAAGTAGCTAGCTGTTTGACACACTATACTTCCCTTCTTATAGTCTAGGGTTGCTGCACAGATGCAAATGTAACTAAATGTTACATTTGCTTTATTTTTTTAATAAAAAAAAATCATAATGTGACATATTCCAGGAGAGAAGGAAAGAAGAGACGGGAAAGGAGGAAAATATGGGTAAGGGGAGAAACAGGAGGAGAGTGGGGAAAGAAGAGAAAGAAAAACGCCCCGGTTCCTGCATGGGTCTTTCCACAACTCGACCTTATGCCAAAGGAAATCCTCCTGTAACATCAAATTGCATTCATTCTTAGCCTACCTAGGTTCGTCATAGATAATACCATAATAATAACACGAGTAGAAAAAGGGTAAGAGCGAGAAAAACTCTCATGTAGTTGAGGATGTATGCTAGTATGGGCGGTACCATGACAACATTCAATATTTCTAGTTGCAAGAGCGTTAAGGAGATCTTGTAACTTGTTACTTGTGTTTACAATGATATAGATATCATCTGCCTGGTAAGACACCTTGCTGTAGGCCTGTTAGGTACAGCATATTGGTAAGAGACCTACTGTATGTTATACCATCGTCTCCAGGCCTTGCTCTACCCTTAATTAGTGCGGGTTGAAGTGCCAACGAAAAGATGTCACAGACATCATCATAGACATTTAAATTCACTACAGATAATTTCAGTATGGAAGCTTCTATTAATTTTGAAGCTAGCTAGCAAGATGTATATTACGAAAGAGATTTGATATGCTAGCAGGGCTAATATATACTATTATGATAGCATGTCAGCCTAAACTGATGGTGAATAGTGATCAAGTTGAAGGATATAAGGTTTTGAGAGCTTGTAATGTTGGACCACATTTGGGCTGTGAATCTTGCTCGTTCACAGTAATGGATATATATATAGTCATCATATCTGGGTCATTTACAACGTAGTCTATATAATGGTGACAGTGAAAATGATGATAGTGATGCTGTTGGTGGTAGATAGTGATAATGTTGGTGGTAACAGTGATTATGAAAGTTCTTAGTGACATGATGGTGATAATGGAGGTAGTTACAGTGATTGTAGTGATGATTACAATGATGGTGGTAGTGACAGTGGTGGAGGTACCGTAATAATGGAGATAGTTACGGTGGTGACGGGAGTGATGACAATAGTGATGGTGGTAGTTACAGTGATGACGGTGATAGTACAGTGATGATGGTGGTAGTAGTGACTTGATGGGGAAGGGGGTGATCGCGATGATGAAGATGATGGTGACAGTATTTATGATGGAGACAGTGATGGTGATAATTGTGACAGTGACTATATGATTATGATGGTTATCAATTAATATAATGATCATGATGATATTATTACTGGGTAAAGTAGTTCATCAACTGTACACTCCAGCTTCAGATACACAAAGAAATTTCCCTAATGGGATATACATAGCAATGATAAAATTAGTTTTATTTTGTCGTTGATATATATATATATATATAAACGCCTAACCACTTGAGGTGGACGGTAGAGCGATGGTCTCCCTTCATGCAGGTCGGTGTTCAATCCCCGACCGTCGAAGTGGTTGGGCACCATTCCTTCCCCCCGTCCCATCTCAAATCGTTATCCCGATCTCTTCTCAGTGCTATAGTTATAATGGCTTAGCGCTTTCTCCTGGTAGTTCCCTTCCCTTCGTAGATATGTATCACGTTAATGTGATTTCGTTGTGTATACAAAGGTACGGATGATAAATGATGCTGATTGATTGACAATAACGATACTAATGATTACGATGATGATTGATCATGATGATTATAATGAAATGGGGATATTATATGAACTCTTAGCTAGTTTCTAATCTCCACTCACTAATCCTTCATACAGAATAGGGTAGCAGCACTTTAATTGTTGTGTATACCTAAGTTTGCTAATAACAAAATAATACATTTTGATGATATCGATGACCGATGAATATTTATGCCGGATAGAATTTAAAACGTGCTCCAAAATTAAAATTCTGACGTCATAGTGACGTCACACACCTTGTGTATACAATATATAAAACAAAAACTTGTATTTATTATTTTCGTTAGATTAGGTTAGGCAAAGCTAGGATAGGATATGTTAGGTTGGACTAGGTTAGGTTAGATTGGCTTATATTAGGCTTCTTTTAAAGATTAACGATGACGTAGCCAGTTCAAATTTTAGGAGCTTTTAGTCTCTTCTTAGCCAGACGGCAGGGTGCAATTTGTAATTTGTATTTACTGTCTAATGAATAACAGTATTTTCTCAAATATAAATTAATATTGCATATTAAAGCTGTATGTATAATTAAGCCTAGGATATACATTAGGCGTTTTGGTTTGGAGGACAATTTGTTGTGTTTTCTGTATTTACGTGACTTGTTTGGACGAAAACATATGCAATATGGGTGAAGCATTTAGTGAGATGTGCTTTGAACATAAGAAGTGAACGAAGCATTTGTTGAGAAAAGTTAGCATAAAATAATAATAATAATAATAATAATTGTATTAAAAAATATACAAAAGAATAATATACCTAAGTTTAACAATTCTTGGAAAGTATGTATATATTTAATAAGGCCACTAATACCCAAAGCGTTTCGAGCATAAC